AGCCGTGGCCTTAGCTGATATTGTCACTGACACATAAATTTCCATCTCTGCCTCCCTCCTCAAATGTAATTGGATGCGCCACGCACTGCAGTGGAGAATAACTGAGGCAGGAACTGAGTAGGCTAATATTCTCTCTGTCTATTTCAATATTTTAGAACTTTGTTAGTTTAGAAGGCGTATCTATCATCCCCAAGGTACTTTTCAGTAAAAGCAGGGATCTTCTGCAATATTTAGAAGCTTCCTCCTTTTTTTTTTTTTTCCTTTTTTTTAGAAGGCGTATCTATCATCCCCAAGGTACTTTTCAGTAAAAGCAGGGATCTTCTGCAATATTTAGACGGTTCTCATGGAATCATTTTACATGACCTGTTCTTGTATTTCTAAGATGATTAAATGACTAGACTAGAGTTGCCAAAGAGTCGAGATATTACATCTTTATAGAAAACAACAAGCAAATTATGTAAAGAGGACTAAGAAACTAAGAATTAAGGTATTACCCAAAAAGAAACTAACTTATGTGGATTCCTAGGTTTTATGTATCATTTTATTCAGTGTAAAAGCATCTTTTTCCCACTTAGAATGGCTTGATGCACAAGCTTAGACAATATACCCCGAGCAATAATCCTTGATAAAAAGCTACTCATGGCATTAAATATCTAATCAAGATTCTCAAATATTCAGATATGAACATGAGAATGCATAAGGATCAAACCACACAATATAGTGAATCTAACACGAGATAGACTAGATCACAATCGAGTGAAAAAAGCTACCAACAAGACATGGCACTGTCAAAAGTATATATGATTCCCTCTTTTCCTAAAAGGTTCAAATACCAAGGCAGCCAAAAGGAACTTACATTTCTTTCCCAAAGAATCAACTTGCCAGGAAACTAATAAGAGTACGCATGAAACTTCGTCAAATTAAATAATGAACTAGAGCATATTGTCAAGCAGAAGGAAATAATTTAGTTGATAATATTTGTTTGTCCATTTTCACTTGTTGAAGTGATATTGTATAAAAATAAGGAACATAAGCAGCATATTCAGTATGGACTACACACCAATGTAAGACCAGATAACCCTTTAACGGGAATCGGTTGAGATCTGGGTTGAGTGTCCCCTGTCCCAAGCTGGCCATATTCATTATTTCCCCATGCCCATAGCACACCATCCTCCGAAAGTGCTAAATTATGAAAAGCACCAACAGCTATTAACTTTATTTGCTCAAGACCTTGGACTCGTACAGGAGTAGAGATCTGCTTACTGAGAATAATGTTACCAATATAAGTTCTAGGAGAGCAGAAGATGGTTGACAAAAATAAGGTAAAATAAGTGAAGATCAATACATATCTCCCGGAGGCCATGGTTGGCCCCAAGTCCAAACATGACCATCTTGTGTTAGCACCACTGAGTGTGTGCCTCCAGCGGCTACCTGAAACATAAGAAACAAATACAGTGAAGGCTGCCTACTGAACCTGCAAAAGTGCCACTATGACAGTCTATGCTCAGAAAATATATTATAAACACAACTATTGGTAAGAAATATTTGAAACATCTGATTATTGTAAAAACAGGTTGATGTTAATTACCAACAGAAAGGAACTTCAACAAGTTTGCACTGGTATTTAGTGGGTTGATGGTAGTTACCAACAGAAATACATTAGTGAAGAATTGTCTATAAGTTTATGGTAGATAAGCCCAAGAAGAAGAGAGAAGACACTGTAGATGTTGAGATTGGAGATGAACAGTTCCTAAAAAAACCCATAGCCTATTAGGTTAAAAATATTAAGGATTGAAGAAAAAGGAAGTGATAAGAAAAGAAATAGGAAGGAAACTACATAATAAAATATAATATTGTTTTTATTTTTCAATATGTAAGAAAAATCCTGATGCGGAACAGGGGTGATAATGAATAGTGCTCAGGTGAACACTACCCGTGAACAACTACTTTTTTTTTTGAAAGTAGGATAATAAAAAAAGATAAATTAGGATATACCGGATTCACTCACCGCATCTAACCTCTAAAAACAATAGAAAAGGCTGGTTTCACACACGGAAGCCTAATCAACAAACATGGCTTCATATCTATGAAATCACTCCAAAACATCTCTCAAACTCATAACTTTTATCATATCTAATTACCCATCTCTGAAATGAAGCATTACAATCCTTTTATAGCAATAAAATAAATCCTAATTCTAACTAATAAATTTAATCAAATCCAATAAAATGACAAAATAATAAATCTAACCAAATCCAATCCAATCCAAATATCTAAAAATCATATCCTGAAAATGCTAACTAATCTAATCTTCTGGATGTCCTATATCAAATCTAGAAATAAAACTAATATCAAGCTAAACGTATTATATGGAGGATTAAGCATGATTTTCCAAGCCACAAGAAAAAAAATCGTGGACCGTGAAATGCATCAAGAGAGCCTCAAGTTCATAAGAGACTCTCACCGGGTCAGAGGAGAGCAAGGGAATAAGAACGGGAACGCAAAAGAATAAATAAACAAAGAAATGTATCCTCAACAACCAGACAATTGAAGTAAACTTTCTTCCTTTTTCTCCTCTCCTTCGCCTCGATGGACCTCAAGCATAGCTTTAAACCTATTTTAACAAATGAACATTGTAAACAGTAGTCTAGTCAATACGCGAATTTGAATGTTCAATTAGTCAGTCCATTAAATTTTAAGTAGGTACTACCAACCAAAGTTCAAAAAACCAATAAGTCTAGGAGAACTTAGAATTTGACTACACGGCAATATCACAGGTCCCTTCTTAAATATATGAAGAACCAGGTGATCCATACCGAAAAGGGAAATTGCTAGATTCAATTATAACATAAGAATCATAGCTAATTTGCTGCCCTAAGATCACATATAAGACATTATGGAATTGATTTTCAAATAAAGATTTATACAGACAACTAGAACAAGTGATAAATGTTTGTGTTATGATTACTGAATGCACAGATTGGTATGATATTCTTATCATAAACAAGGAGATAAGATGTTGAATATAGAAAATGAGGACATGTTAAGAATTAGACACCTGTGGATATGATAAATGGATTTCAAATACTTATGTCCCAATCCAATTAAGGTAGCTTGTTGGATTGGTACAACTAAAACAGTAAAACACAGGTTTTTGGTAATACCATTCAGATGAAAAGATATGTTCTTAGAGCATGTTCGACAACTTACTTATTTCTCCTTATTAGTAATTTTTTACTTATAAGGTAGTAACTTTTTACTTCGAAGGTGCCAATGTTGTGTTTAATAAGGGTTACTTATTTGACTTATTTGTTATTTATAAGTAGGAAAAAAATAAGTTTAGGGTTTCCCAACTTATTTTTTCTCCATTTAAAGGAACTTTCCTTATTCTGGCCAAAAGAGAAAAATACCCTCCTATTCCCTTTACTTAGTTAAATATTTTCTTATTATAAAGTGATTAATATTATTAATTAATTAGTTAATTAGTTTATTATTAATTATTATTTTATTAATACGAAATTAATTAATCTCAATATTACTAATTAATAATCACAAATAAGGTAATATATAAAAATATTTTAATAAAGTTTATTTCTTACTATGAGCTAACTAATTTGTATATATTAATTAATTATTTTATTAATAATATTTTTTTATTAATATGAAATTAACTAATGACAATATTAGCAATTAATAATCAAAATAATGCAATATATAAAAATATTTTAATCAAGTATATTTCCTATTATGAGATAACTAATTTTAATTAATTTATTTATTTATTTATTAACAATACTATTTACTAATATGAACTTAATTAATTAATCTCAAAATTAGTAATTAATAATCACAAATAATGTAATATATAAAAATATTTTAATAAAATATATTTCTTATTATGAGATAACTAAATTTTAATTAATTGATTGATTTTATTAATAATAATATTTCATTACAATGAAATTAACAAATTAATCTCAATATTATTAATTGATAATGATAATTAATTTGAAATAATTAATTTCAAATAAATTACTTTTTTAAATAATTAATAAATTTATATTATTAATTATCTAGTTGATATAAAATAAATTAATTAGTCAAGATATGGAGTTACAACAATATATCCTTTTTGGTGATTTAACATTTAACACAACCTTATAAGTTATTGATTTATGAAATACATAACTACTTATATATCCTTTTAAGTTAAGGAGTTTACCAAACAACTTCCTTATTTTCTTACATACTTATAAGGAGTTTTGAGAATAAGTAACAAGTAACTTATAAGTATTCAAAAAATAAGTAGGTAGCCAAACATAGAGTCTATGAGCTAAATCAATTTTGGCCACATATGCGAAAATAATTAATAACAAACTATCTTTTTCATGAGAACAGAATACGCACATTGTCTAAGAGATTTTAGAGGAATGAATTTTTCTCCTTGCTATTTTTAACTTCTGTACTAGTTTATGCTTCCCTTTAGACCTTGCATTCAAGCTCAACCGTGTAAAGACATAACTAATGGGATACAGCCTAATCATTCTTGTTTAGATGAAGTATATTTGCTACTCTCCATTGAGTGACAAAGCTTGATCGTTTGTTTCTTTACTTCACCTTTCATATTTTTACATTTTCATCTCAGTCCTTTTCTAATGCTCTTAAACAAAAGAGAAATGGAACAGGCCCACAAAGAAAGAACCAATACAGCTAAGACCACTTGCAGAATAAAGATTTAGCATCGTTATTCTGCAAGAAGAAAAAATCACTCACAAACTTTAGAGTATTCATTGAAGCAGGAATTTATTTTCAGATTCCAATTACCTGACGAACAGAAAGCTTAGAGGCACACCGCTGGGGAATCGCAATATCCCTTCTCAAAGCCTTTGTCCCATCTTCTTTCCTCTCTGGCTCCTCTCCACACTGCCCATACTCATTCCCACCTGTAATAAATCCAAAAATTGCAAACAAATCTCAACATAAA